CTCTCTCTCTCTCTCTCTCTGTGGTAGCCCCCCCGCCTTCCTCTCTCTCTCTCTCTCTTTCTTTCTCTCTCTCACACATAATAATAAATGGAACAAAACTCTCTCTCTCTTTCTTGTGTGCGCTGTTAGTCTCATTGCTTTGGCTACCTTAGGGCTGCGTTTCCCGTGCTTACGCGGTAGACAATGTTAAACTAGGGTAAAGATTGAGAAGAGAGGGGTTTTGTAATAAACACCTAATCCAGGGTAAAGATTGAGTATAGAGGGGTTTTGGAGGTTATAATACATGCCTTAAACTAGGGTAAATCTTGAACAGAGAGGGGTTTTAGAGGGCATAAATACATACCTTAAGCGGCATTAAATATTCAATGGAGGGAGGTTTTAGAGGGTACAGTATACCTTTTAAGACATCATACCTCATTTGGTTCATTAGGTGTGGGCCGTCGACTGCTTGCCTAACCCACGAAGCTTCTCTGCTGCTGCCTTTTTTCTTTGAGAGCTGCAATATCCCTTCCCTTTGGAGACCAATGAGCAGGCCGAAGTTTTCACTGACGTAGGAGCCTCATCCTATGGAAGAGAGGCAAGTTGCTTTCCCACTGCAAAAAGCTTTTCCTCTGCCCTGCCGTCCATGGATCGAGCCCCTCTGAACAGTTCTCACGGGCTGGTTCCTTGCACTTCTTGAAGCTGCTAAAAGGCAGGGCAGAGGGAAAGCTTTGCTGCTAAACGCAGGGAAGAGAGCTCTCAGTTCTTTCTCACTTTCTTGCTGGCAGCTTCTTGCCTCAACCTCTCGGATTTGACGTCCCTTTTGCAAACGTTACCGAATCTGGAGAGGTGGTCGGTCACCTTGGGAGCTTGTCCTAAGGTGGTAGGTGAACTCAGTCGTAACACACATTCTCTCTCTCTCTCTCTCTCTCTTTTGAGGTATAGTGTATATCTGAGGGCGGAAATGGATGCGGGCTCGTGTATAGGATTCAGTGAATGTCTGTCTTTCCCTTTCCTCTCTCCTCTTCAGGTAGACCTCCCTACCTCTATTGCTCATTCATCCCCTCTACCTAATTGTAGTTCAGAAAACAGAACAAAAGAAGGAGAATCAACATCTGCAATTCCAACAAGCATATAACAAGGATATTAATTATCAGGCCACCGAATTTTAATCACGAAGTACATCACAAAAGAAGAGGGAGATAACATTCCTCTTGGCAAGGAGAAAATCTGTGCCATTGAGACTCCACAAGCGGTTATCGGGTAGCTGAAAATTCAGGAATGAAAATTCTGAAAGGAGAGTTTTGGGCAGTCTGAAAATCCTGAATGGTCATGAAGTGGTGAAAGGTCCAAAGACCCTGAAAACCACCTGTTTAGGCTGGCTGCATCCTGAAGTGGTGAAGGGTGTCCTGAAGTGGTCAAGTGCGAGTTTTAGGCAGTCTGAAAATCCTGAATGGTCCTGAAGTGGTGAAAGGTCCGAAGACCATGAAAACCACCCTTCACCACTTGAGGATGCAGCCTGCCTAAACAGGTGGTTTTCAGGGTCTTCGGAGCTTTCACCACTTCAGGACCATTCAGGATTTTCATACCTGAATGGTCCTGAAGTGGCGAAAGGTCCGAAGACCTTGAAAACCACCTGTTTAGGAAGGTTGCATCTTGAAGTGGTGAAGGGTGTCCTGAAGTGGTGATGAAAAATATGACTGTTGTTAACCTTCTCTCTGAGACTCTGGGGCGTGCTGCACGTTCTTCACACGAGACTGAAGCTATTTTCGAGTCTGAGCAGAGGGGTGTGTGTGTGTGTGTGTGTGTGTGTGTGTGTGTG